ACCTATAATTCTTATTCTAAACATATATCAAATCTGATACAGGTCTTATCCTTTTCTCAGTTTTTCTTGTTTTTATTTGGTTGTCAATCCCTTTTTTTGCTATATACACAAAGTGGTTTGTAAAAAAGTAAAAAAAAAAAACGATTATGATAAATATACGTAGTTGGAGTTATGTTGGGCTCAAAATGCAAAGGAGAGAGCGGCAATAGAGAACCCACGTAGAGTGATCGATGAGCAATTTATAAGGTTTTCATTTGGTGGTAGATAGGAAACTTTGGATCATATAAATTCAAACACTTCTCACGTGGACACACCTTAACCACTTGGTTCATCCATCAAACTTTATATATTAATCAATATTGCTTTGTTGTTGACATGTTGTTATTTGATCAACAAAATAAAGTATGTATGCGCAAGAAACTAAAATCTTACAAATTATATGTACTCCATAATTGGTTGAAAGTGACCCGCCTTTCCGATCTCACTATAAATTTATAAGTGTAATTATTTAAATATATTTTAATTTATATTTTACTTAAAATGTTATTATCAACATATCTTCTAGTGAATTCTACACATCCATGCAAAACACGAGCCTACCATTAATTTATGTTTGAACCTTCCGTGGTGAGTGAGGCAAATACTTGGCCATTACAAGGAAAAGAAAAGGTCTCCAATAGCATAACTTCTCTTTGATTTAAAAGAAAATATAAAATGCTAAACACTTCTTCACAATTTTGCCGATATCAGTTTTTTTTTTTTTTTGTTTCATGCGAACTAACAAATTTGACACCAAAAAATTATTATATGCATATATTGATTGGTTTAAGTAGCATCAGAAAAAAATTAAACTGATTTTTATTTATTTAAATGGAAAATTTGAATGTATGTGAACAAATGGTTTCTTTGATTCTGGTTATCAGCAACATATTTGATTCAGAGAATCTAATTATAGGCTTTCAACAACAACAACAAATAAAAATATGTAATGTGTTTGGTTTATACAGGTTGAGTGATATAATTCATCACACGATAATTGGGCCTTCATTTTTCAAATAAGCAGGCCTTGATTTGTAGGTTTCAAAGGTTTGCAAAAGTCCAGTGGAACGTATAAGTCACTAAGTTGTCCATCATCTACAAATCAGGCTGTCATAAGCAAAGATATAAACTTGAACTACATATAAACCACACAATAAGCATGTCTTTTATCAGCTTTTGAAAAACTATACTTTACATATGGTCCATATCGGAAATCATAAAACCCAACTTAAGTTTTATCATTAGATAAAAACGAAATATAATTTTCTCGAGATCTCTCATATAGTCATTTTCCATTTTCATGAGTTCCAAATCGAGTTATATGCGAAAGTTTCATATAAATTTTGTTGGATATTGCTTCAAACTGATTAGATGTATTATGAAAAAGAAAACATGGTTTGCCAATCTAATTGCCTCGATAGGTGCTATGACTTTGTCTGCCTAGAAGGCTAGAAACACCCTTTACAATCAAGAGAATAAAGCATGATGAAGCTTAGCTTTGTTTATTGATTAATTACTTAATTAGCAGTATTAAATGGATTAGGAAAGAAGTGACCTGACTCTTTCCGCACATAGAGAATCTCCTTTGCGACTATCTTTCTTTTGCAACGTTGTGTGTGTGTTAATGTGTATGTGTCATAACAAGTGGATTTGCTGTCGAAAAGCAATAAGCTAAAGATGACTAAAGAATTCACAATAGTTTGCAATAGAACTCGCGACTTTTTGTTTTCCTTATAATATAGTTTATATAGTAAGACATTTTTCGGTTGGTGCGATTTTTTTTAATTTAAAATTGCCATAAAAGTGCTACAAAGAACATGATTATGTTGATCGGATGGACCATACATGTACCCAATTACAAGTATAAGCACCTTTTCTGTGATGAAGATTCAATTATTATGCTGAAAATTTTGCTATAATCATATTTTATACACTCTCTTCTTCGAACAACAAACTTTCCACTTATAAGTTTCTACCGACGTAAAATAATTTGTTTTAGCGTGTTATGCCAAAACTCATGCCACTTATGAAATCTATGACATCAAACGTAATACGTATATAATATTTGAGTCAAGTGTGCGTATCCCACTAGAAACAGTTTCACACCTCTCCCGACTTTGATATGACGAAAACCACTTATAAGACTATATTGGCTACTTTTTTTATGTACATGATAGTAGTTGTTAGATCAAACTAGTATAAAAGTCATTTATATAGGGTAGTAATTTGGCCCTTATATTTTCAGAAATATTGCAAGAAGATTTAAGTAGAGTAGGGATGTTGCGACATATTGCAATTTTGCTATGGCTTGGTCCAGTTTGGATTTCCTAAATCTGATTTTTTTAGGTTGATGTATGAATATGGCTTGGTCCTGTTTTGATGGTTAATCTTTAACAAACTGAGAAATACAAAAGAAGATGACAAGTTTGATGAGTCTAAAAAAGCTATGGCAGAGTTGTTGAACGTGTCAGGGTTACGTTAACCAATTTGATCTTTAGAATTATTTTTAAAAACCAGTCTGATATGATACAAACTTATCATTATTCTTGATTTTTCATATCCCTAGTCCAAAAATATGATAAACACATTTCAGGACCAATGATGCTTTATTTCTTGAAACTATATAGATTGCACAAAGACAAAAAAATTATGAAACTAAAGTAATGAGATCGATTTCTTTCTCACTTTTTTCGTACTTACCCCATGCAATGATTTATGATTTTTTTTTTTTTTTTTTTTTTTTGTTGTTGGTAAAGTCATCACAATTCACACAACTGAACAACCCCGTCAGGGACCACACATGAGATGATAACATTAATATTAGTTTTTTTTTTTTTTTTTCTAAAATCGTTGTGGTTATGTCGCCACTTGCCAAGTCCACAGTATTTAATTTCTTCCCACCACCATTAAGTCCTAACAGTTTTCTTGCATATATAGGATTCTTTGTCATATATATCCAGCTCGTAAACAATGTACCATGCACGACTTCCGCCATAAAATATTCATACCACCAAACCAATACATGATGATGATACGTACAATCACATTCACATATATTATAAATTAACTTAACTCAAAGTTAAAGACCTAGCTAGCTAGTTTGGTCGTATTCGTATAACTACATATATTTTGGATTCTTGATAACGTTGAAGCCAATCCCTTGGTTCAAGTCTTGATCGGGAGGAGTGGCGATTTTCCGAAAATAGATTGGTCTGTAAAAGGTTGACTCCGACAAATTAAAAAGAGAGAGAATACATAGTTTTTAGGCTTTTATTAGCCATGGAACTTCCTTAGGACAAAGCAAGAAAACCAAAAAAACAGCTATCTGTAGTAATATAAATAGCTTTTACTATGACATAGATGCTTGCTAGACAGGTTAGGTGGAGATTCAATAACAATAAATTAAATGATACGAAAGAAGCATGACCATATACTTTACTTATCTTCACGTTTCTTGCTCTGACATATGAAATTATTTTAGAATGTCATATGCTAGCTGTTGCGTAATCTTATTATATGTATCTTCATTACTAATCCAATTCTACCATATACTATAAGATAAAGAAAAAGTTATGTATTCGATTGGTTAATGGTAATCATCCGACCAATATCACATGTACATACATATAGTCGATGCATCTATATTTTGAATCAAAGAAGACATCGAAAAATACATATTTCTCGATTTCTGTGTAATCAGTTTCAAAAACTAACATCATATTCTGAATCTGAATAGAAAATAGAAGCCAGCGCGTGCCTTCTTGATCAGTAGACAAGAAACCTAGAAAAAAAACAGAGTAGGGGTGTACTTAAAATATTCGTGTAAGAAGATGATTAACGGTTACTCGTTTCTTATAAAGGTCGATGGGGAAAAAAGCTAAACTAGGACTCAAAAGAATCCAAAGGGGTGTGTTATCCATCTCTCTGTGATCCAAATAATTTGAAGAAGAAAAATAATAAAATCGAGGTACTGATATAAATAAATAAAGAAAAAGACAGTGTTTATGTAATTATGTTTGGCACATGTCCTTATCCTCGCTCCTTTGAAATCCTATGTAGTATTCCCGGTTGTGATGATAGCCAATGTTCCCGTAACACACACGTATTACCATCGATGCGATTTGCCAATGCGTATCTACCATGTGTTCTCGTTTGCGACATGCTTATATTCTAATATAACACTACTATGATATATAGATAAGTCTCACGTAATATGGAAATTTATGTGTCTATTTTTTTTTTGTTATGATAATTGTCTCGTAGGAAATAAAGAAATCATCATCTTTGTCTTGTTAGGAAGAAATAAATATACCCCTACAATTTTAATCCCGTAAACAAAAATAAAATATCCTTACATTATTATTTGACTACTAAAATTTGTAGTCATCTCTTTTTTTTTTTAGTCATCTCTTGCATATTCTCTATTTAATTATTTTAGTTAGAAAATTTGTAAGATCTATATATATGAAAAATGCTATACTATGTTGATAGTAGCTAGTAAGTATATAATATGTTACTTCCAAAAAAAAAAGTATATTAAAGTATGTATAATGCTATAGAGTATAGACATTACACATATTTTTTGGTAAAAAGAGTAGACATTATACATATGTTCAACGTTGATAAATAATAATTCATTCGTCTCACACTTTTTAATGTTATCTTAAATCTTAAACCACCCATAATCTATCAGTCACCATATTAAAATTTTAAAACAGAGTTATTAATTTATGTGTATGGATAAAATAAATAAAGAAATCTCTAATTCTTATACGAACGTTACGTAAAACTAAAAATCACAGAAGTAACGTGAACATAAAAAAATAAAAAATAAAAAGGTAATTTTATATTAAACACAAACTTTTATATATTAACCCTTTTGGGGGCCCACCAAAAACTGCATCTCCTCTAATCTCTTAAAAGGCCTCTCTCTCTCTCTTTCTCTCTCCTTCGCTCTTCCTCATAGTCCCATCCTCTCTCTCTCTCTTCTCTTTGTTTAGCTCCACAGCGACTCTCTCTCTCTCTCTTCTCCGGCGTCTCCGTTCTCCGGTAACTTTTCTGAAGAGGGAGAGAGAAAACTCTAAAACCGTTCGATTCTTCAGCTCGACGATTTTTTTAAAAAAATATCTTAAGCTTTCCTTATTGGGTAACTCTCTCTCTCTTTTTTTTCTTTTTATTTTCCCGATCTCTCTCTCTTTCCTATTTCCTCTGTTTTATCTCACTCCTTAAAAGTTTTTTTTTTTAAATAGTTTACCTAATAATTTGTGTGTGTGTGTGTCTTCTTCTTCAACATCGCAGGTGTTTGAGGATTCTGGAGTGGTTCTCATATATGATATAATGTGGGTTTGATTAGCTTCTCTACACTTCTCTCGCCTCATGGATTCTTCTCACGATGGTATTTACTTTTTAGATTTCTGGGTTTCATTGGTTGTTTAAGATTTATCGATTTCCGTGTCTTTTTTTCTTTCTCTTCCCTATAATGTTTCAAATTAATTTACGTCTTTTTGTGTTTATTTTTAAGCTGAGGATGGATATGATGCTTTGGATGCTGATTTTGATTGTTCAAACTTTGTGTTTATTTTATTCAATTTTTTTTTTTTTTTTGAAAGTTGGAGACTTTATCTTCCTCTTTGGAGGTCTTGAGAATGACTCTTCTATACTTTTTTTCGTTACTAATTTGCTACTGATCTTAGATTACTGGGTTTTGTTTTTTTCTTTTTGCCAATCTTTCTATTTTTCTTATTGGAAGTTTTATGTTTTCTAATTGGTGGTGATTCTTCATGGTGGGTCTTTTTCCTCTTCTTCTTTTTTCTGGTTGATTGGTTCTAATTCCATATTCTTCTCTGTGTGTGTATGTGTGTGTTTTGTTTCCCACTATCATTGGTTTGATGAATTGGGGGTTTTTTTTTAATTTAATCGTGCGTCAAAAGACTTAATATGACTTTGGGTTTGTATAGAATAAGATTCCATGGTTTATGAATGTGGGTTCTAATACCTAAAAGAATCATGCTTTCATTCCCTTGTGTTACTTAATAGACTTATTCTTTGCTTTGGATCTTGGTCTTTTATTTTTTCAACTGTATCCTATACAACATTATCTTTGCTTTTGTCATGTTGTTTGGTTTTCTCTCTGACTCCTTTGATGTTTGTCAAGTCGCATTCTCGTGTGGCTCCAACCTTATCAACGTTGTTGTCCTGTGGTGGGTAGTTGAAGTTTCTTTGTTTTTCAATGAATGAGCTTTTAGTTTTCAAAGTTCCCAATTAGCTTTGTAGTTGCGCTTATATTGAATTTGGGAGTCATTCTTTTCGGTTTTGGAAAATCAAGATTGCGTAAAGTATTATCTTTTGTGTCAGTTCAGGCTCAAGCTTCTTATGCTGATACATGTATTTTTCTTTGATAGTTTCTGTTTTTCTGGTAAAGGACATTGTTCTCCATTGCATTCTCTTGGAGCCAATATTGTAAATTCACATTTTTTTTTCTTTTCTATACAGGACCTGCAGGTGACTCATCGAAATGCAATGAAATGAGTGTTGATGAGAAGAGACAGCTTGTTTATGAACTGTCGAAGCAAACACATCTAGCTTCTGAAGTCTTGCAGGCATGGAGCCGCCAAGAGATTCTCCAAATCTTATGCGCAGAAATGGGAAAAGAAAGGAAATATACTGGCTTGACCAAAGTGAAGATCATCGAGACCCTTTTAAAAATTGTATCCGAGAAAAACTCTGGAGAGAATGAAGGGAAGAAGAGAGATTCTGATTGTTTGCCTACTCAGAGAAACACAAAGAGACAAAGAAAGGTTGATAATCCTTCTCGGTATGTGATTCCAGCAAGCAACAATGTAACAAGCAACAATGCCTCAGGGAGCTGCAGCTCGGTGAATACTAAAGGTAAAAATTCTTCTTTGTCCAGTCCAAATGTATTAACCTTTTGGTGCATTCTAACCCAAAAATAGAATTTGGTCAGGTGAGAGTACTATCTACTGCAACAATTTGGCTTGCCGTGCTGTATTGAGACAGGAAGACTCGTTTTGCAGAAGGTGTTCCTGTTGCATCTGTCGTAAGTATGATGATAACAAAGATCCTAGTCTCTGGTTAACATGTAGCTCAGATCCTCCATTTGAGGCTGAGTCTTGTGGATTCTCATGCCATCTCGAATGTGCTTTCAAAACTGAAAAATCTGGTCTTGCAAAAGACAAGCAAAGTGAGGGATGCTGCTTCTATTGTGTCTCTTGCGGTAAAACGAACAGTTTGCTTGAATGTTGGAAGAAGCAATTGACGATTGCTAAAGAAACCAGAAGGGTAGATGTACTTTGTTACCGTCTTTTCTTAGTCCAGAAACTTTTGAAGGGCTCAACTAGATACAAAAATCTGTGTGAGGCAGTGGATGAAGCTGTCAAGAGTCTTGAAGCTGATGTGGGTCCTCTTACTGGTCTCCCTATGAAAATGGGTAGAGGAATTGTTAACAGACTTCAGTCGGGTCCTGATGTACAGAAACTTTGCTCTACTGCTCTTGAATCTCTTGAAACTGTAAAACCTACAAATCCTGAAGTTGCTGCGTTGCCTTCACTTCACAGCTCCAAGATGCAGCAAGGTCAGAATTTTTATTCCCTTCAATGATTGAGTAATATGTTAAGTATGTTCAAAATGTTGATTATCTGATTTTTTTCGTAGATTGTTCTTATGTATTGAGCAATGAGATATCTGCAGATACAGCAACCACAGGATCAACCAAGATCAGGTTTGAGGATGTAAACGCGACTTCACTCACAGTGGTTCTCGCCTCTAACAATATTCCCTCACCTCCAAACATCGTCCATTACAGTATTTGGCATCGTAAGGTACCGGAAAAAGATTACCCGGAGAAATCGACTTGCACATTGTTTACTCCAAACACAAGATTTGTCGTCTCTGGATTAGCTCCAGCTTCTGAGTATTGCTTCAAAGTTGTGTCCTATAGCGGAACTAGAGAAATGGGCGTCGATGAAATAAATGTTTTGACACGTAGCGCTGAAGAAGGAGCGAATTGCTCTTCCGCAGTTGAAAGAAGCGAAAGCCCTCTCACAAATTGCAGCACGCTGTCTTCTAATCCTTCTTCTGTTGAAGCAGAGTCCAACAATGATTACATTGTCCCGAAGAGGCCATTAAAGAACGACGACAACAATTCTCCTTCAGTCGATGAAAGTCCTGCGAAAAGGGAGAAGAGGACAACGGAATCAGACATTGTACAGATTGAGAACAGTAACGTTGAGCAGATTGTGTTGTTGGAGGAGGAAGAGCAAGAAGCTGTTCTGGATAAGAACGGAGCAGGCTCTGGATCCGAAACCCCAGTCCTGGCTACTACAACGAATCTTGTTAGTAACAGAAACAATTCAGATGCGAGTTTGCCAATCACTCCCTTCAGGTCAGACGAAATCAAGAACCGTCAAGCTAGAAACGAAAAACCTGTAAACTTTAACAACGGGGATCATTCAGCGAACGGAGGATCAGAGAGCGGACTAGAGCATTGTGTGAAGGTTATAAGACAGCTCGAGTGTTCAGGACACATCGACAAGAACTTCAGGCAGAAGTTTTTGACTTGGTACAGTCTAAGAGCGACGTCACAAGAGATTAGAGTTGTGAAGATATTCATCGAGACGTTCATTGATGATCCCATGGCTTTAGCTGAGCAGCTCACTGATACATTCGAGGATCGTGTTTCGATCAAGCGCTCAGGGAACGGTGCTAGCGGCGGTGCGTCTGCGGTTGTTCCATCTGGATTCTGTATGAAGCTGTGGCATTAGAGGAACGGGGTCTCTCTCTCATATATGGGTTTAAAAATCGTTCTTTTATTTTAGTAGCTTCTTTCTTGTCATTTTCAAAACTTTATTCTAATTATTGGGAAATTTGCATTATTGGAACATTTCCATGCAAGAACAGTACTCTACTGTTGCTATCGAATAGTTTTTTTTTGTTTTGTCGGGGATTATCTATATTTTAATGGATTTGATTCCATTTATAATTTACTCTACTAGACTGAATTATTCTTATTTCATTGACTTCTCCAAGTGTTATAATACAGAGGAAGGTTATATACATTATGATGAAACTGCATAAGAAGTAAGAACAATATGAGATAAATTTGCTTAATCTTCTTTATTAGTAGTGGAGTATCTTTTGTTAAACGTTGTTACGTAAAAATAATTTTATGTAACAATTATGCATGGGACTGGGAAATTGCAATATATAACAAATGCAACAAACTAGAAAAATACGTCAGCAATCATCGTCATCGTCGTTCGTCATCATAGGTCATTCGTCATCATTTATAACAAATTGTTGTATCTACTGTCAAATCTGTTGGGAGTAACTTCTTAATGAACAATATAAAAAATAATAAAAGCCATGCAGATTTTTCTTTCACTAATTTAATGCAACATGAAATCTATGAATTTAATGCAACATGAATTAGTTTGATAAAAAAAAAAGAAATCTATGAATTATACTAATTATGTTTACATTTTTTTGATTAACTTTTTTTTTTTTGTGTTTTCGTTCTACAAGAGTAATTAAATAAATACATGTCATCAATTTTTATCTTTCGTTTTCTTAATAAAATAAATATAGAGAATATTTATTTTGGTCATGATCGCTTCATCTAAACAAGAAATAAATACAAAAAGGTTATATAGTGTCTTCTTGGATTTGAGGATTAATTTGTAAAATCAGGAAAGGAAGAATCAAACACTTGAATCCAGCCTTTTCTTAATTTTGTTTTGGACTCTCCTATGGGCCTCACAGCCCAATAAAGTCTAATGGCTTTCAGCTATAATCCATTAACATGTTGAATTGTTTTTTTTTCACTGAGAATTGTTGTATTGACTTTATAAACTTGGTAACATATCAACAGTGAAGTGTACGAAGGTACATACAACAACTTAAATCAACAGTCAAAGAAGAAAAGAAAAAGGAAATAATGATTCGAAATATCCAACTTGGTTGAACCATGAATAGAATTGTGCACATAATATATCATTTTCTACCAAATCATGGGATAGAAAAGTGGAACAAAACACATGAAGGGCGAAAAAAGAAGAAGAAAGCTGCTGGTCCATTGAATGTTGGGCAAAATGGACAAAGGCATGTTACGATTATTCCTCTCTTAGAAACCTTTAGAAAGTATTTTTTATGATTTCAGAGAATCTTTATAATCAAGAACAAACAACAATACAAATAAAATAAAAACTCAGCTTATGTTTATTCTAAAAAGGTGCAAAAAAGTAGCAAACGGACACAAAATGACCATGTCTAGAATTATAATCGAAGAATTCAAAGAATGCTCCATATATATCCCACTATTCTTAATTTTAGTGCCAATATACATCTATACACATTTATGTTTGTTGGTCAAATTTGTATTTATTTATATTTTAGTTTTATTTTGGGGTCGTTTTCTTAATTTTTCTTTGAACCTCTTTAATCTATAACGATCAAAAGTCAATAAAGCGATTGCTTAATTAGGCTAAACTCAGTTCTCTGATTACTTCTCACTTAGTACGTATAGTAGTAGTTAGGCATGTCAATTAGGGCGAAAGCCCGCGGGCTAGTTTGGCCCGGCCCTGAAAAACATCGGGCTCGGGCTTAAATATATATGTCCAGAAAAAACCGGGCCTTTTGGGCTAAGCCCATTCGGGCTAAAGGGTTTTTTGGGCTTAGCCCGGTCGGGCTCGGGCCGACCCGAAAAGCCCTTATACAAATATATTTTGAATTTTTTGAATATTTTAGTTTGATTAAAAGATTTGATTAATGTTATAGTTTTCATATTTACTTACTAGTCTTACTTATTACTTTTAAAATATTTATACAAAGCTAAAACTAAATATATATAAGTATCATGATTTTGAAATCATCAAAATATCTATTAAATTTTGACTCTATGTTATACTTTAAAGTATTTTAGTTCCATGTTTTATTGGGTTAAAGTGTAAATAATTTATTTGGCTTTTATT